AGTCTTGCTCTGTCACCCAGGCTGGAGTGCAGTGGCACAATCTTGGCTCACTGCAACCTCCACCTCCCAGGTTCAAGCAATTCTCCTGCTTCAGCCCCCCAAATAGCTAGGATTAGCTCAGCTAATTTTTGTATTTTTAGTAGAGACAGGGTTTCATCATGTTGGCCAGGCTGGTCTCAAACTCCTGACCTGTGATCTGCCCACCTCGGCCTTCCAAAGTACTGGGATTACAGGCATAAGCCACCACACCCGGCCTGTTAATTTTATTGCAATCATTAATAAATACTTGTTCATATTTTTACATTTAATCAAGAACCGTCTCCATGAAAGTTCTATCACAAAGTAAGATCACCAGAATCTTTTTTTTTTTCCCCCTCTGGGACAGGGTCTTACTCTGTCACCCTGGCTGGAATGCAGTGGTGCAATCTCTCACTGCAACCTCCACCTCCCAGGTTCAAGAGATTCTCAGCCTCCTGAGTAGCTGGGAGTAAAAGCGTGCACCACCACACCCGGCTAATTTTTGTATTTTTGGAAGAGACAGGGTTTGGGCCATGTTGGTCAGGCTGGTCTTGAACTACTGACCTCAGGTGATCTGCCCATCTCAGCCTACCAAAGTGCTGGGATTATAGGTGTTAGCCATGGTGCTTGGCCCCTGGGACCCTAGTGCACACTGATAGATGTCCTAACTGGCAGATTGCCTGGTCCCACACCCCCATTTATGAGCGGAAAAACTGAGGCTCAGGGTGCCTAAGGCTATCCAGGGAATAGTAACAGCTATGGGACTAGAAACTGGGTTGAAAGGTTCAGTAACTTCACACTGGCCAGAAATCTAGCCCAGAGAAAGACCTGCAAATGCCAGGGCCTCCAGGGCCAGGCAGATAGTGTCAGTTGTGAAGAAGGAGGATTGTGATGCCGGGTGGGAGCACTGAGCAATGGCATCTCCGTACCTGCTACAGACAGCTATTCATACTCACACTTTGAACAGGAGCTGTATGGATCAAACAAAAAAACAGCTGTGGGTCAGACTCAGCCAGCAGGCTGCCAGCTTTAACTTTAACTTTGAGAGGGTGTGGTGGGCCTGGAGGGGGGAAGAAATTCCACAGACCTGGCTTCAGATCACACTGCCAGTTAGCTCTGTGACCTGGGGCAAATTATTCAGCCCCCTAAGACTCAGTTTCTTCATCTATAAAGTCGATTATAATTCCACCTCCTAGAATTGTTTGAAGAGTCAGTAAGATAATGGGAGTAGAGGATAGGCACAGTGGCTCACGCCTGTAATCCCAGCACATTAGGAGGCTGAGGCAGGTGGATCAATTGAGGCCAGGGGTTTAAACTGGCCACCATGGTGAAATCCCGTCTCTGCTAAAAATATAAAAATTAGCTGAGTGTGGTGGCGTACACCTGTAATCCCAGCTACTTGGGAGGCTGAGGCACAAGAATTGCTTGAACCCAGGAGGTGGAGGTTGCAGTGAGCCAAGATCGCCATCACTGCACTCCAGCTGGGGCGACAGACGATAGGGGTAGAGTGCCAGGCAGGCATGGGCCGAGGTAATCAGGCAGCATGAGTGGTGGGGAAGTAATCATGGCTGTGTAAAGCCCTTCTCTCTGGGTGTGTCCTTTGAACCCTGTCACAGTCCTGGGAAGTCAGCAAAGGCACACTCAGCATCCCATTTTGCAGATGAGGAAGCTGAGACCAAGAGAGGAAGAATGACTTGCCCAAGGTCACCCAGGCACCAGTGACAGCCTTTGAGTGAATGTGGCTCTAGTGAACACTGGAGCGTCCCTCTCCCCTCGTCCCCTGCTCATGCCCCTTGTCACTCACATAAGTCTGCAGCAGCGTTGACGTGTTCTTCTGCATGTAGAGGGCCAGGCTGTAGGCTTGACTAATGGGCTCAGCCGGAGAGATGGGGGCTGCCGAGCTGAGGGGTGGTGACAGCAGGGTCAGCAGGCAGAGGCGGGCTGGCAGAGGAAGGCGGAGGTCAGCACCATGGCCCCAACCCTACCTCCAATTCATTCATTCATCGTTACAAGTCCTGAAAAGGGCCCAGCCCTTGTGGGCTACCTCGATCTTGTGTATCCAAGTCAGTGACAAACCCTCCTGCAGGTAGATTATCCTGGCCCCGAACACTGGGAACTCCAGGGTCATTGATTCAGCTAGCTGACATTTTCTTTCTTTTCTTTTTTTTTTTTTTTTTGAGATGGAGTTTCACTCTTGTTTCCCAG